ATCAAGAAAGTTTTTTTTAATATATAAGATATAAAGTGATAAAAATGATGGTAAACTATTTTTAATAAATTACAAAGTTATTTAGTCTTCATTTCTTTATTTCTGTTATTCATTAACTGTTTATAAACATGCCAATTAAAATCAATATTTGACAAGAAAAAATAACCATGGCGATCTTCTTTTTAATTAACGTTAAACGTTTCTTTGTTTTCTAAATTCTAAAAAATAATTCTAAACAGTAGAATTATCTCTGAATAATCTGTTGTCAACAAAAATGAAACGAAACTCTGATTACTGTCAAAAAAAAGTTGTGATTATGTTTTGCAGAGCATTCAGTTCTGTGTGGAGAACTTTCAGAAATGGAATTTAATTTTTTGGTTTACACAGTAGCCAGTGCTGTGAGAAAAAATACTCAGTGCTTTCAGATTTTCTCCGTGTACATATCTTAGAGGGAAGTGGAGACTCCTTATACTACTTCGTGGTAGTAAGTTATTGTGCTGTGTGGATCTATAAGTATTATCATATCTAAGTACTTCATGTTTTTGATGTCGCTCAAGCCGAATCTGAAGTCTATTTTACGTATCTTGTATGTTGATTATAGCCGCCGAAACAATAAAGTTGTTAAAATCGAGATTTTCAAAAAAGGTGGAGTGAGGTGGCGAATATATATTTTTCAGTAATAAGACTACAAAATATGAAAAAATGTTTAATTTATTTATTAAAACCCAGTCGAAAATCCTACGCTATGTTAAGCTGAACAAAAAGTTGTTTTGAAGTATTGAGATAACCATTAGAGAATTGTGAGACAGTAGATAACTAGCTATAGAAAACTTTCAGGAAGCCTGTTATGGCCGATTTTTCGCTTCCACGGAAAGCTTGAAAATAACAAATTTTGTACGTTTTAAACAAAGCATTCAAGTAGCTTTGAGAGAGTTATCAAAGAGTTGCAGGATTTTGCATATATAAAAAGAAAGCGTTCAGGTGGCGAAAATTAAATGAAGCGTCATGGATGTTTCAGGAAACAGCGGAAAAATGACAATGATCAAAAATTAAATTTAACCTTTCTTTCCATCTTTATTTATCTCGTAAAAATATTGTTGTCAACCAAAATTTGTAAATAAAAATACGCTGTTAAATTCATTTTCATAAATTATGAAATTCTAAAAGAATAAAGAATATATTATTTATAAAAAATATTAATAAATATCAAGTATAAAAATAATAATCTTTTTTTTTAAATATTAAATATTTTGTCTTTTTTTTAAGAAATTGTATTCATTATTCAATATAAAAAGTTTTCACCGTGTTCGTATTCCTAACCCCAAATTTTGCTCAAGTTATATATAATTTTTTTCGTATATAATTTAAGTGTTTAAAAATAAACGTTTTCTTTGAAAAATAATTTTTATATAATATATAAAGAATAATTATTAATTGTATAAAACGGATTTACAAATTACTATAGAATTTTTATGATTTTTCGATATAGTTTAATTTAATGAAATTATTCTAGTTTTCAGAAAGTGTAAAAAAGGTAATTAAATTACATATTAATTTGCAACTTGTGAAAAGCAAAAAGAATTGCTTTCTTACACATTAAACCAGGCATTAGGAAAGCATTCACCAAGCAAACTGGTAGACCTTTTGCTAGAAGCTGTCCACAGATATTCAACAAGCTGTAGAAAAAGCTTCCCGTTAATAAGTCAGAAAGAAAATATCACAGAATTTTAGGTCTAATGTATAAATAGTTGCCATGAAGCTTTTAAAACCTTCATAACAGTTACCTGAAGGCCATGTGAACCCTTCAGGGAAACTTACGATTTTCGACTGGGAAATTCTTAAATTAGTAATAACCCAAAGGGAAATAAACCATTGGTTTAATAATGGCCCAACATTGGGAGCCAGTCGTTCAAATATTGGTGCAATGATGGCACCCAATATTGGACCACGATTGATAAAATCTTGGGATGATCATGCTGTTGCCAATCATTGGTAGCCAATATTGTTCGATCATTGGCTACCAAGGCAAAAAACGGATTCTCAGAAGCTTGGTTATTAATTGGCTACAAAGATTGAGCTAGTATTGGAAGCCAATCATTGGTTATCAATAATGATCCAATGTTAGTAGCCAATTATTAACGAAGCATTTGAATATTCGTTACAACTCACTAGTATCTAGACCTCATGGGCTTGATTTAAGACTTTTAACGCTCATTTCTAGCGAATAAAATTTTGTATTGAGTCCAAGACCACAAAGGCTTGTTATTTTGAATCTAATACAACTAAATATTTGTCATATTAATATCTCGTTTTTCATTAAGACCTCAACGGCTTATTTTTAGACCATTATTTGTGATTAATATTAGTTATCGGCTTCTTTCTAATCAAAATAAAAAATTAGACTATGCTCGGAGTAAGACATTTTTTTCCTGTGTACACACACTTATGTCAGGCGTGAATGTACACGCACCACACTTAACGCGCTACATGATAGTTCTGTAAAATGTTCTCATTCAAACGTTATTTTGTGCCTTCTAATAATGTACTAACCGCGGAACAAAAATTCAGAATCCAAGTACAGTACGCTTTGGGACACATTACAGAACGTTCTATAAATTTAATAGTTAGTTCTGTTTAAAAAAATTAATACTGTTGTGCACCCATAACAAAAGTGGGCATTTCGTCCCAGCAGTATAGGGGGAGTTCTGTAACCGCTACAATTAAAATTTTCTCCGTGTACCACATATCCTATACGCCACTTGTCTGAATTATTGTTGTGCGTGCATCTTTCGACGCAGCGCGGGAATCTTCAAATGTTATTTCAAACATTGTGTGAAAGATTTAATAATTTTTTATTACACCCCGGAGACCGGGGTTGAAAGTGCGGATTTTGAGAAAACTAAATAAAATGCTGGTAAAATGAGAACTTTTTGTTTTAATCTATAGTCTGTCTATTTTAAAATGTAATGTAGTCTTTAAATCCATTATTATTTTTTGATAATTTTGAACAGATTTTTTGTTAAAAATGATTTTGTACAGCGAGGCAACACGGCCCGTTGAACTCTGCGCTGGGGAGAGTTGTGCCGACGCCGGAGTGGGTTTCCTATATAGGAGGGGGTTTTACATAGTTTTTGACATAGGATCCCATGTGGTATCTCATGTGGGGATTTTGAATAGGGAGGCATATAACGAATATTCAAATGCTTAGTTAATAATAGGCTACTAAGATTGGACCATTCTTGATAACCAATGATTGGCTTCCAATACTGGCCCAATCTTTGTAGAAAATTAATAACCAAGCTTTTCAGAATCCGTTTTTTGTCTTGATAGCCAATGATGGAACAATATTGCACGGAAAAAATGTGTCGCTTAGAATTTAAGCGACTAATCGAGAAGTCTCGGATTTAAATGAATATTTTGCTCAGGTTATAAAAGTTCTATAACTTTGACAGATACTGTAGAAGAAAGTCGAAGACTTTTTAGAAACCTAGTAGCGGAAAAAAAGTCGCTGAATTATTGTATAACAAGTGTTTTAGAAACTTAGCGACTTGGACTAATTTTTAAGTTACTTTTGTAATAGAACTTAAAACTGGGAAATAGATAATGTGAATCACAGATACTTGTCAACAAGTCGAGGAAAAGGGTGCGCGGAAAGTATGCGCAATCTCTCAAGCGCCAAACGAAATATCCCCCCTGTTTCTCGCAAGTGGTAAAGAATCACTTCGTTTAATATATAAGGACGATGAGAAAGTACATTTCCATCGTGCGAAACTGCGCAAGCGTCGGTCCGTCGATGTTATATAAATGTATATGCGTGCGTATTAGTGCTAAGTTCGTGTTAGGTTAAAATGTGTGAGGTAGGGGTAATATATGTGTTTGGTTATAATACAACTATATGAATGTATGTATACAATAAACCCAAGGGAATGAGAGAATTTCTTTTTTTATTTTTTCATTGGTCGACCGGATTTTGATTTTGCTCAACTGTCGCAGAGACTTGAGAACACTGTAGAGCAAGCTCCGCGCTTGTTATTTTCCTCGACTGTCGACAAACCGTTCTAACGCTGGCGCTGCTGTAGGGCAACCGTTTAGGTTTTCGTTTTCCTCGACTGTCGCTGAGTCTTTTAAACACTTTTTCTAAATTCTTTTTAAGTGCAGCCTACTTTTTCAATAGCCTGTTAACGTGATTTTTAGAACTGAGTGTTTTTAGTGTGTACTACACTGTGCGTTATATCCGAGAGTCTTCTACAAAGTCGATGAAAATTTGAGCGACTTATTTTTTCCGTGTGGCTATCAATGATTGGCAACGGCGTGATCAACCCAAGATTTTATCAATTGTGGTCCAATATTGGGTGCCAATAGTAAGACAAGAAAAAAACATTCTTGGCCTATTATTTAGCCAATCGTAACCATTGTCAATTTCCCATTGGAATGTAGATTATATAAATTGTTAGACTTGAAATGAAATGAAAATAAAACTTTTTTTTCTTTTCTCGCGTTAAAAGCTGCAACTACTTCTTGAGTCGCTTGTTCATTCGGCTTTACTCTTCTCCGTATATTTTCGCACCATGAATCTAAGAATGCAACATAAAAATGAATTTTACAATATTCTTAATTCGCCACCACGCCCCACCAATACAGTTCTCAAAAAACGTAAATGTTTTTATGCAAACTTGATAAATTGACAAAATAAAACACTATTCGTCCTCAGCGCTGAATTCAAAGCAACATCGGAATATACTCACCTGATTTATTTGTTGAAATTTAATTTTTTTATAGCATTGACAAAACAAAACAAGTGTGGTTAGAAAAACACGCTTTTCAGAAATAATATCGTAGTAACAATAATAGATTTGATATAGAACATCCGAACCTAGTCCTATCTAGTCAGTTTTTGACCGTGTACCTACCATATCAACGCCACCACGCGCCACTCTACTCTAATGGTCTGACCCATTGAAAAAAACTTATTTAAACAAAAATAATTTTGAAATATTTACCTCTCTATAACATAAAAATTATCTCCACCATCTCCTTGTCGTATAATGAATTCCCCAGGTTCGACTGATTTTTCAAACATCGCATCAAGTACTTCGCACATTTGCTCCTAAAAATGAAAATAATGTATAAATAAATATTATTTTCTAATAAACAATAAATGAATTCAATTTGAAATACGATTAATCAATTAAAAACCTCCGTCAAAGAACTCGCTCAACTGTACAGAAAGAAAGCAGTTGGTACATGCCGCAGTGTGGATATGATGATCGCAACGGCGTTCCACAACATGTGGAAACGCTGTGAAGGAAATTAAAATTAAAATTTTTGATTTTTGAAAAGTACTGCTTTGTGAAAATGAAAAAGTGTAGTTATTGTATGGTAGACAATTATTAACAGATTTGACTGAAACTTGGCGAATGTGCTTCCTAACAAGGAAACATTAGAATTATTTCATTTGACTAATCGATTCGTTTCGAAGAAAGCAATATAATTCATATTCTTGTATAAGTACATTTGAAAAAAAATTTTGAGATTTTAATAATTTATAATCAATACAACTCTTCACTTATGCATGTTAAAAATTATTGCGCAGCTGTAAAGTTTTTAATTTTTACTAAACGAAGACATAAATGAACATGTACAAGAAGATAAACCAAATCTGGTGCAAGAAAATGTAAAAGAACATACATTTTCTTGTATACAAATATTAAATAAATTTTCTTGTGGGCCAGCAAAATGCCTTAGTTCCTAATAACGGACGCTACATGGAAAGTCAATACTAAAAATCGAACTGAACCAGTCATGTGCAGTTATCACCACTATCTTAAAAAATGCTGAATCTTAGTCCATGCTGAGTTCTGAATGGATTAGCAATAGTTCTCACATATTCATTGAAAGTTCTCATTCATTGAAACTTATCCTTATAAAATTCTATTCTAAATTCAAACTTAAAGAAAGTGCTGAACTCTGAAATTTTCAAAAGTTAAAGTTTTTATGAATTTTGATTAGAGTTCCAGCATCTCCGTCAAGAGTTCTACAATTTATCCTTATGACATTTTACTCTGAATTTTTATAAATTCGGAGTAGTTTCTGAACTTAAAATTACAAAAACTACATGACTTTGAAATTTCAAAAAAATAAAATTAAAGTGTTTCAAAATTAAGATCCAAGAGTTCTAATGGGAGTTCAGTTTAACACCTTTTGAGTTTTAAGAGTTCTAATGGGAGTTCTGTTTGCTCCCCACTAAGGGTTTTTTGTACAATTTAATGGGGGGGAAACAGAATTATTATCAGAACATTTATTGTTAGAACTGAATTAAAAAATATTTTAATTTTTTGTTTATTCAAAATCCTGTAGTTTCTTTAATAATAAATTTAGAAAAAAATTTTATTAAGGTTTTGAGTAGAAGTTAATGGAAGGCAACCAGAACTCCTATCAGATCTTATAGAACACGAAATTTAAAAATTTTTGAAAATAAAAAAAATGTTCGACTGTATATATGCAGAACTATTTTTTAAAAATAAAGGGAACTCTAGAGGTCTGTTAGAACTACTCATATGAACTTTAATTTAACAACAAATTTTTTTTAATTTTAAAATTCAGCACTTTCTTTAATTTTGAATTTGGAGTAAAATGTCAAAAATACTTTGTATAGGACTCTTGACGGTAATGTTAGAACTCTAATCAAAACTCATAAAAAGTATTTTAAGTAGAACTTTTAATGAAGATGATAGAACTTTCGTCAAATCCAGTAAAACTTCAATTTGTTTAAATTTTTCAAAACTAAAAATTTTCGTATACATTTCGAAATTTTGCAAAACTATTTTTTGTTTTATAAGAGAACTCTAGAACTATTTTCTGTCGGAATAATATGTCAAACTCTTTTTTGCAAAAATTATAGTGCTCGGTGAAGTTAGCACCATATTTTTTTAATATCATGTTTTTTGGTCTAAATCTACGGAACAATTGAATTTAAACTTATAAAACTCTATAACTACTGCTAATCTACCGACCCAGAACTCAGCATGGATTTTTCATTTTTTAAGATAGTGGTATATGCCGAGTTCTGTGTAGGTTAGCAATAGTTCTAGAGTGCTATAAAAAAAGAGTTCTGAAGAAGTTTTATTATTCCGATAGAAAATACAGAGTTCTAAAATTCTCTTTAAAAAAATACACGGAGAGAAATAGATGGTACCAGGTACCAGGTACCATATTTGATCATACATATACGAACAGCTATCTAGATTCTATCAGTTACAATCCAGATTGTACGGAGAAACATCTAGATTGTAGTGGGGGGTCGTTCACAAACTACGTCACGCTTTTTATTCCATTTTTGTATTCCCTTGGCCCCACGTCACACACTGTTACATACTTTAGCGACATTTTTTCTATGGGTCGTCACAAATTGCTTGACCCCCCCTTCCCCCTTGAAGTGTGACGTAGTTTGTGAACGATTCCTGGGTAACATAACCATATTTTCTATAACATCTTTGATAGTACCGAGTACCATAATGATGGTACCGGATACCATCTACTTTTAATCATCTTAAGATCATAAGATCTTGCCATCTATTTCTCTCCGTATAGTTCCACCAAAAAATTTTCAATTTTCAAAAAAATTAAAAATTTTAAGTTTTAGCGGAATTGATTAAAGTTTCTAGTCTTTATATAACTGAAAAAAATTTGTATTTCCATAAATATAACCGGAGATTTTGAATTTTTTGCGCCGTGCACCACCCGCGAAAGTGGTTTGAAATGAAAAAGTATGGTTCAAAACAGTCTAGAGTCTACATAACTCAACCGCTTTTGGATTTTTTTCAAATAACCTTTAATACAATTGGAAGAAATCCCTCGAGCCCGATTTTTGATTTTCAATTTTCATAAATAACATCGGCACACAAAAAAAGAATTTCGATTAGACGGTTCCAAAGTTCGGAAATCTTTCATTAACTTTTTCCAAGATTTCACGAACGTTCATCACTCTCTTCATAACAATCAATGTCTGCGCACGCGCACAAAAAAAAGTTCGTGAAATCGTGGAAAAAGTTAATGAAAGATTTCCAAACTTTGGGCCCGTCCAAAAGTGAACTACTAGTTTACGAAAGTTTCACGAACTATTTTTTTCCGTGTACCCTTTCGTGCCCCAGCGAAACCATCCCACTGATTTGCTTCAAACTTCCCATTCGGGGGTTTTTGAGCTCGCTGTTCACGAATCCGATTTTAGTTTTTCAAAATACTAAATGGCGAAATTTTTTTAAAAATCGTTTGCTTAATAATTAGTATTCAGGGGTTTTTAGGGTTGCTGATTACGAATCCGATGTTAGTTCTTCAAAATTCAAAATGTCGGAGCTAATGTGGCGGACAGTATTTTAAAAAATTTCTAGAATTTGCTTAAAAATTGGTACTCGGGGGTTTTCGGGGTCGTCTATTACGAATTCGATGTTAGTTTCTCAAAATTCAAATTAGCGAATCCAATATGGCGGATTAATTATGACAAAGTTTTAAAAATAATACTTTAGATTCGTAATCATTGATTCCAAAAAACCCCAAGAAAACCCATTTTTTAGGAAAAAACATGGATTTTTTAAAAAAACGTCCGACATACTGTATCGAACATTTGAATTTTGAAAAACTAAAGTCGAATTCAATCAGCGACCCCGAAAACCTCCGTGTAGAGAGTTTCAAGCGAATCCGACCAATTTTTGAAAAAAAGTCCGCCATATTGGATCCGTCATTTTGAATTTTGAAAAACTAACATCAAATCAAAAGTATGGTACTGGTAAAATTAATGTCATTGTGTAAATTGATGCTATAGTTAATCTATTTATATCAAAAAAATAATTTTTTGATTCTTTGTTAATTTTTATTTGAAGCATCTAAAAGGTAAATTTGAAGAAAATGTGTGTAAGTTTGAATTATATGAAAAAATTTTTTCTTCAAAGAAGCGAGCTCTCTTCATCAATGAATGGCGTTATTACAGGCTGCAATACAATACAATACCTAAAGAAAAACTTAATATTTTGTGTGTTATATACCGAGACGACATCTTAATAATAGGGAAAACCAAGAATAAGTGCGCCAAGGCAATAAACACCACAATAAAACTCCTAATAGACCTAGGTTTCTTAATCAATTCAAAAAAAAGTCAACTCACCCCCACAAAAGAAATAAAATTTCTAGGTTTCATGTATAACACCTCAAATCTAACCATACGATTACCCAACGATAAAAAAGTAAATATTATTAATACACTAAAAAAGTTAAAACAAAAACCTCACTGCTCGATTCGCGAATTTGCTCAAATGATCGGGAAATTAGTAGCAGCCTGCCCAACAATAAAATATGGACGCGTACATATTAAAAACTTAGAAAGAGCGAAATATCAAGCACTAAAACGAACTAATTATTACAATCGCAGAATAAAAATCCCTCCCTACGCACTAGATGATATGCAGTGGTGGTTAAAACACATAAAAAATTCTTACCAAAAAATGAAAGAATCAACAAATTACGCCTTAGAGATTTTTACAGATGCCTCAAATTTTGGATGTGGGGCATACGCTAATAAAAAGGTAACAAACGGTTTCTGGTCCAGAGAAGAGCAACCGTTACATATAAATAAACTAGAATTAAGGACAGTCTTCTATGGACTAAAATCACTAGCAAAACAGTTCACAAACTGTTCAATTTTGATTCGAATAGATAACCAGACAGCAATCGCTTATATTAATAAAAAGGGTAGTGTACGCTTTAATAACCTTAATCAAATCACCATGGAAATTTGAAAATGGTGTGAATTTAATAATATCGAAATTTTTGCTTCCTACATCCGTACAAAACATAACCACATACCTTGGTTTCCCCTATTCACAAAATTGCAAATTGATAAAACACTGTACTTTTCTCCTCAAAAATATCTAATTCTTTCTCCTCTCAGGAACTCGCATCCCCTGTGCCGGAACCTTACCCTGGTTGCGGGGAAATTATCAGGAGAGCGTGGATGAAAAGAAAAATTCCCGAACAAGCCATTCAACATATGGTAAACTCAATATAAAATAGCACCTTAAATCCGTACAACTATGTTTATAAAAGATGGTGGAAGTTTTCTATTAATAATCGAAAAAACCCTGATACCTACAACTTTGAAAACATAATCAAATACTTATCAGAACTAAGGGATGAAGGCCTGTCCTACTCGTCAATTAACATCCAAAAATCAGCTCTCTCCTTCCTGTTCTTCACTACACCAGAAGAAGAAAAAATATTCAAAAGGTTTCTCAAAGGGATCTATAACCAAAACCCTCCCACTCCTAAATATGAAACTACTTGGAACCCCAGCCCAGTATTAGAGTACTTAAAAAAACTTCATCCACTAAACTCATTAAGCCTCCAAAACTTGACTTTAAAATTAACCATGTTATTAGCTCTAACAACAGGGCACAGACTCCAGACACTGTCCCTCATTCACATAGAAAACATAAACATCTCTCAAGACAAGACAAATATTAGAATCACAGACAAAATTAAAACCTCTGGAAAAAACAAATATCAACCTTTACTGACCTTACCTTTCTTTACGGATTGCCCCGAACTTTGTGTAGCGTCAACCCTAAAAACCTATATAAAAAAGACTAAAGACCTAAGACCAACAAACGAAAAATATCTCATCCTAACTTTCAAAAAACCTCACCATAAAGCAAATAACCCTAACCAATTCGCTAGAGCAGTTTTAGAATTACAATTCGTCTAAACGAAAAAACTTTATTTTTTCCCCATTCTTAAGCCTTTTGCTTAAAATTAATTATTATATTCCTCTTTCGTTAAAATTTATACAAAAAAAAAATAGGACTAAGTTTACCTCTCTTTATGTTCATAATACAAATGTAATCAATGAAAACAACAATTTTGTAACACTTTTGAAAACTAATATTTTGTTTACATTATAATAACAAAAAACAATAAATTTTCTTCAATCAGATCACAAAAAGAGTCTCTCAACATCTACATAGTGTAATTATTGAGGAAGACAAGCGAAGAATAATTAAATAATTGATCGACTTACCTGTAAGGATGATCAATTGAAATTCTTCTAGCTTGTCTTCCGAAAATAATTACTTACCCTCCCTTCCCTATCATTCTTACCCATTATGATCTGATAAATGTAAAAACCAAACAACGAAGTGAGGAAACGTCCGAGGATCCAAAGAATGCCAAAGAGTGGGGATACTTCCCCCGAAAAAATCTACCTGCCCGTATCCCGGCAGTACTTTAAACTTGTACAATTGGGTGTAAATATACGTCAACTACATTGTGGAATTATTGAGGAAGACAAGGTAGAATAATTTCAATTGATCATCCTTACAGCTAAGTCGATCAATTATTTAAATAATAATAATATTATTTTATCTACTTAATATGAGAAAAATCTTGAGCACGATATTTGACTGTAAAGTATGTAGTCCCTCAACGTTATGAAGAAAATGTTTCACGTTGGACTTTAGTGGTTCTACCCTTCTAGATAAAATCGATTGAAAACAATAGGAAAGACATTTTTATTGTCTCCAATCGTGTTTCTTAATCGTTTTCTTACAATTGAGGACGATTGACTTTCTTATTATATTCAATCGTGTTCTATAGATTGTATTGCATGCCCTATTGTTTGGCGGGAGTATTTGAAAATTTTAAAAAGTGTAACTAATTATACAGTCTAGAAAAATACCATTGTTTCAAAAATTATTTTCCGAACTAAAAAATTAAAATATTTACCAATGTATTAGTCACCACAGAAGAAAATCAAATATTTTAGAAAAAATTAATCAAAAGTTATTTTTTAATTAATCTTTGAATGAAGCTGCACAAAACTTAATCGTTCTGAATCGTGTTCAATTGATTTTTTTCTAGAAGGGTAGCCAATCACGAAAGTTAAGCAACGTTGATCGCGGTTAATACTTGGAAGGTGTGACCACTAAGGAATACCGAATTTTTCAGGCTTCAAAAAAAAATGTGTGTATGTTTGTATGTAAGGGGAAATTCGTTCGATTAAAATATATATATATAGGTGTTGGTGGGCATGTAAGTGTGCAAAATAAAAAAAATAAATATATAGAATTGTGAATATGAGAACTAATTATAATACATAAAAAAATTTGTAAGCTTAGATTAATTTTTCTAATTTATCGTTGTTTTCCTTTAACCTCATAAAAAGATTGAATTTATAGCATGGTGCTATTAAACAAATAACATATTCTATAGATTCTGAAGCATATGCTTATATATATATATATATATATATATATATATATTAACATAGTTTTCTGTCAATTTAAGAAATATGCTTTTGTTTCAATGAAAGTGATACTTTATATACAAACAAAGATTATAAACAAATTGTTAATTTAGGCAATGACAATGAGTAAGGGGTTAGTACCAGATCTCAGTATGTTGTATATAAATTTCATTATAATCCTTGCTATAGAAAGTATAAAAAATTCAAATTGTTTATAAAATTGTTATTAAGAATTAAGAAGTTAAAAATTTTTTTTCACAATTAAGTTTATTTAAAATAGTGGATATGCATTTACTACCAAAAAAATTGCCAATAATTTCTAGCAAACGAAATTTGAGTTATTAATTTTTTTTAAAAATGCTGCAAAAATTTGTTATTATAAAAGAAGGTTATAAAAAATTTAAAATTTTTAAAAACGGCTTAAAGTGTATTTTTGGTTCGTTGTGAGCTGCAGATTTTCACAATTGCTTTTATTTTTCCAAAAATCTAGAAATTTTTACTCTCGGTTGACGTGGTTTTACTCTTCACCAAGTTTCAATAAAATCTGTTAATAATTATCTACGATACAATGACTTGTGATTTAAAATTTAATAAAATTTCTAAATCAAGATTTCTCAATTTTTGTTGTTCATTTTTTAAAAATATTTGTTTTACAAAACAATGTCAAAGGAAAAAAGGATCCACCTTTTCATTCTCTAAATGGTAGTACTATTCAAAAAAAATTCAATTTCAATTTTCTTTACCTTTTGGGTATTTTGACTGGATTGAGAGCGAGTTCTTCGACGCAGCTTCTCAATTTATTTGTCTCACCTTGTCCAATGCTCTGAACAGCAGAATAGTTTTCACACTTTCATTGAGTCGATTCCGTTGTTCATCACTCTTAGGATAAACTTGCTAAAATGTGAACAACAATTATTTTTCATTAATTAAATATTATTATTACAATGTTTTGAAGTTCTAAAATATTTAAAAATCTCTTGATACTTTCATTTCTTTTTTATAAAAAAAACAATTCTTATATTTCTAATAATATAAAAAAATAGAAAAAGGGAAAAAAGAATGGAAAATGAAATCGATGAAAGTAAAGTGTTTCGTTAAGAGCTGTTTTAATTAGGATGGATGGTTCTTGTTTTCACAAGAGTTGCATACTCGAAACAAGACCATCATAACAAAAGGCACTCGCGTCACAGAGAAATATTCTCTATTTACATTTGGCGTCTTCATGCCTCACTGATGACCAAACAATGCTTTTCGATTATAGACTCTGCTGTTACGTGAACTCCACACGTATAAAAGGGAAAAAAAAGTTTTATAAAAAAAATTGATAGATAAGCTACTTTTGTGCGAGATAAATTTTCCTTACAAAGAGAATCTCTTCTTTATTAAGAGGCCTTTATTATTAGTAAGTGTTTTATTTAATTCCTATAGTTTACTTTATTAAAATTTTAAATTATCCAAGTCATATAAAAAATCGTTATACATATTTTAGTAGGTATTTAGACAACGTAACCTATTTAACAATCCTTTCTCATAGAAAAAAACTTTTAATCATTATTCAAATGCAATACTTCAAAGTGTTAAAAATAAAATTGGTCTCACTTTTATTGAGACTTTAATTAAAACAAATTTTTTTGTTTAAAAGTACAAAAATATAAAATTGAACTAACTTTTATTTTGAATGTCAAATTCTTTATGAAGTTTAGTTTAAGGGGAGGTTCTAGTCTAAATCCAAAAAAATTATTTTTTTTCGCCATTGACATGAAAAAGTGTTAATTTTTGCATAATTTTTGTTTTGCTTTTATTTTATTTATCAATTTTTATTATTTTATTTTATATACTATTTCATATATATTATATATTATATATATATATATATATTTCTTTAAAATTATTTCACTTTTTCATAATAATGGCGAAAAAAATAGCGTATGAGGCTCGCACGTAGTAATTTTTAGGTTCGGATGATTTCAATACTCGCTGTCTGTGCGACATCGGTTCGACTTGGCACTAACGACAGCTGGTACCGAAAATTACATCCTCACCTAAAAAGTACTACTTTACGTGCTTGCCACATAATATACTATTATTGATTTATTTTCATTCTTAGGGTATTAAAAATGGGTATGCAAAAGGAAATTCCTCTATCTAATTTATTTTACGAGTTATAGCATATTAGACGAAAAAGTGCGTCGCACTATGGAAAATTTGACCCTCTTTTTCTGGCCAAAACCTAAAAATATTTTTAAAAATGACCAAAAGTACTTGCACTAAGGTTTTTGAGGTCGATGATTACGAATTTGAGGTCAGATTTAAAATTTAAAGTGGTGGATTAAAAATGGCCGAACCAAATCCTAAAAAAATGTTGAAATCTTTTGAAACTCGATACTTAGAGGATTTTGGGATCACTGAATACAAATTTGAATCCAAAATTTTCTAAATCAAATATAGCACAGCCAGAATATCAAACTTAACCTTTGAAACATTTACTGATTTTTATGTAACTTGTTAGTATTTAGTGATCTAGAGTCTCTGAATACAAACTATCTTATTTGTAAAAAATAAACTTTATTATACAAAATATATTAACGAAACACAATAAGTTATACTTATCAATATTATTATTTAGAACTTTAAACAAATTAATGAAATTTTAAAAAAGAAAAATTGAAAACTTAGTTTTTGAATTCATTGTCTAAACCCAAATTATCTAACAAATTCTCATATTCTACATTCAAATTAATAGATCTTTCGCAATGTTCTCTTTCATCATCGTCATCATCATGGTCGTTAGCATTACCATCAACCCGTTCTACATTGTTAATTGCGCTGTATAATAAATCAAATACTTCCTGTGGAAATTGTAATTTTTTTGTTTTTGCATCCGCTTATTTAAGCTAATACTAGAAAGAAGAGGATCTGAGGTGTCCAAAGCTCTATTGAAAACATTCGCCATATTGTTAGTACGGTTGTTTTTCCTAGCGTGATGTAATCTATTATTCTTGTAAATTTTCTGGCGTGACTCAGCTGCGTCTTCTCCGAAATATCCTAGCGGAAGAACCATACTTCTAATTTTCTTTGAATGTACTAAAACTTTATGAACAGTATCTGTCATCGGGCACCAGGGATATTTTCAACAATCATTCTAGCAGTTTGATAACAAAATAATTCGAACTTTTCTGCATTTAATGGTAACTGACAGGATAAACAAATCAGAACAATTTTTAAATGATAAATTATATCTTTATCAACGCCAGTTATTTCAGAAAATTTAGCGTGATCCTCGAATGCACGTCGAGATGTATTACCGTCGTTTGTGCTACCGCAACCTCCAACTTTTGGTTTGTCTACTTGCAATCCTTACTCCTCCAAAAATAAATGTTGAATTACCTTTTTCCGTTCTGCAAACAACTTTTTGTTTATTTCACCTCGTATTTGCCATTTTTTTATTTCGAGCTTATAGGCTAAATGTAACGCAAACTCGAAAAATCTAATCCAGCAATGCAATGGACTTATTACGTGCTTTAAATAATCTTCTTTTGGTTTAATAGTTGTAATTTAAAATCTTTAATAGTCAAAAAATCTTTTGGTGTAGTACTACAAATAAGACAAGCTTAAAAAGATTTTGTACTAGTTATAACTTTTAGTACTTTTCCATCAATTACAGTTAGAAACTATTAACAGTCTATTTCTACACTTCTTTCTTCACCAATTTTGATAGTGAAAACTTGTAATTCTTCGATCTCTTTTTCTATGGAAAATATAATTGGTTTTATCTCCCCCTTTGTAAGTACTTTTCTAATTTTTGATGCTTTCGTTGGGCCTTGTTAGATATGTTTTAAGACAACTGCTAAGTCTGTTTGCTTTCATTTGCGAGCTGCCATACTAGCCGCGTGAAGAATTAAATCTACGTCATCTGCGTTTTCTTTAGATAATTTTGGAGCATCTATTCTCTGAGCTCGATTAGACTTTTCAGAAAAAGGAATTCGTGGACGACCACCCTTATGTGTAATATTACTTAGTGGTAATTCTAGTTTTTTTATTTCCACTTCATTTAAAAGCCATTTCGCATTTTGTTTTTTAATTACCTCCATTTTACGATAACTTTTGTCCCAGCGAGTGTTGACATTTTTGGTTATGTTTCTACATCTTTCCAATAAATAAGCTTCGAATTCGAATATATAAAATCTTATTAAGCTGCTATTAATCTTCTTATATGTGAGAACCTATGTAAGAACTCATACAAGATCTCGGATAAGATCCCATGTGTGTTCCTATTTATCGTGTTGTTCATATAGGAACCTACACAGGAAACCTCATGGGATCCTGTGTTATTGCTTTTACAGAGACATAAGATCGTGCGCTTGATCTCACGCAAGTTCATCCCAGGAACATTTTCATACAGGATCTTATGTGTGAACCTGTATGGGAACCCACATAAGAACTCACAAGAGATCCTGGATGGGATCCCATATGTGTTCTCACATAGGAATTTTCAACAGGGATCACCGACAATTATTTTTAAAATTGAATTATAAATTGCTGCTGGTGTACTTTTATATATCTCTCTCTTCTTTCCAAGCTTAGTGCAAATCCAAATATTGAATTTGGTAGTTGTCTAAGAAAAAAATTATTTACTCAAAAAACGCAAAAAATCGCAACGTAATTTTTGGTACACAGTTTCTTTATTAAATACGTAACATATTTATAATAATTAGAATACTCCCTATTGAAAAAAAACACGTATAATTATACGTATAATAATACGTATAATTATACGTATAATTGTACGTATAATTATACGTATAATTGTACGTATAATTATACGTATAATTATACGTATAATTATACGTATTATTATACGTATAATTATACGTATAATAAGACATACGAATTTGAAACAAGAATTATACGTATAATTATACGTATAATAATACGTATAATTAATTATACGTATAATAATACGTATAATAATACGTATAATTATACGTATTATTATACGTATAATTATAATTCTATTAAAAATAGAATAATAGAATAGAATAATAATAGAATAATTAGTAGCAAAATTGCGCTGAAAATTTTTAGAAATTTTAAAATGCAAATTAAATTTCACGAAAAAAAATATCGTCGAATGTCAATTCAAGCAGTCACCCATCCAAGTACTAACCGCGTCCAACGTTGCTTAACTTCTGTGATCTGATGAGAACTTGTTCCTTCGCCTTGGTGTTTCCGCTGTCTTGTCTTGATTAATAACTTTGTCGTATAAGTATCACTAAAAGTGAGGTTAGGTGCGATACAATACTTATACGACAAAGTTATTAATCAAGACAAGACAGCGGAAACACCAAGGCGAAGGAACAAGTTCTCATCAGATCACGGAAGTTAAGCAACGTTGGACGCGGTTAGTACTTGGATGGGTGACTGCTTGAATTGACATTCGACGATATTTTTTTTCGTGAAATTTAATTTGCATTTTAAAATTTCTAAAAAATTTCAGCGCAATTTTGCTACTAATTAATCTATTCTATTCTATTATTCTATTTTTAATAGAATTATAATTATACGTATAATAATACGTATAATTATACGTATTATTATACGTATAATTAATTATACGTATTAATATACGTATAATTATACGTATAATTCTTGTTTCAAATTCGTATGTCTTATTATACGTATAATTATACGTATAATAATACATATAATTATACGTATAATAATACGTATAATTATGCGTATAATTATACGTATAATTATACGTATAATTATACGTATAATAATACGTATAATTATACGTATTATTATACGTACAATTATACGTGTTTTTTTTCAATAGGGCTGCCAATTATACAGGGTGTTCCAAAAGTATGGAAACCTGCAAATATCACGAA